GGACAGAAGCCCCCAGCGTGTGGCTCTGGAGAGCAGTCAGGCCAAGACACTGACAAAGGCCCAGGGGGTCAGCAGAAGAAATTCTGCTCCAGCGCCCCAGAGGCCCGGCAGCCACGGCAACAAAGCTCCAGCACCTGTGTGAGCCGGGGTCTGGTGAGATCACCCACACGCAGGAGACACCCACGGCTCCCACACGGACCAGGTGCCTGGCACCGCCCCACACGGAGCAAGCGGCAGCTGGAACGGCCAAGACCCCTGGCCAAGGAGCCTGACCCTGGAGGAGCAGCAGCAGGTGGAGACCAGAATCGCTCCCAGCTGCTTCCCCCACAGCCTGGGCCTCCTGCTCCCCAGAGCTCCTGGCCCTGCAGCCGGCATCGACTGTGCAGCCTCCATCAACCTGGACACACAAACCTGGCGGGGCCCCTTCCATTGCCCCTGCTGGAGGGCGGTGGGGAGGGCAAAGCAGCAGGGGTAGGATGAAGGGGCCTGAGCATCACTCCCAGCCAGAGCTCTCTGACCCCTCCCAGCTCCCCTCCCTCTGCTGGAGCTTCCTCTCTGCCCCCCTCGCTGCCATGTGTCTGCCTTTGCCCTGGGTCTCTGTGCTGGGCTCTGGGGGGTCTGGACGGGGGCAGCTCAGGCTCAGACAGCAACAGGGTCGCACTGGAGAGGGAGTCTCACCCACCGAGCAGCAAATCACTGAGCAGCAAATCGCCCAGGCCAGGGCGCAGCAGCTAGACCGGCCCCTCCCCGGACCAAGGAGCTCGGCCAGCCCTCACCATGTGCCAGGAGAGAGGCACAGACACGCCCTGGGACCCATCTGTGCAGCCCTCAGCACATGGGGCCAGGCCAGGCCTCACAGCACCTGCTCAGTGGCAGCAATGACCCCCAGCCATGGAGGGTCAGGATGTTAGGGTAATGGGGCCAGTACCGGTCCCTGGGCAAGAGCCAGCAGGTGGGTGTGAGCAGCAGAAAAACTCCCCAGCACTGAGCCCATCAGCCTCCAGCTACTGCACAGCTCACAGCCTGCCAGCTGGGTCCACACATGTCCTGGGGCCCCAGGCTCTGCCCAGAGCCCCCCGCACCAAACAGCTCAATGTCCCAGGGGCTCCACTCACCTGCAAATCTGTTCAGAGCTTCCCTCATATCAAGACAAATTTTATACCCGCGCTGCAGGTCGGCAGAAATGGCTTCAGGTCCCTGGAGTTTCATGTTTTCACTCCTAGGAAGCAAACGTCTCAGCATCATCAGCTGCTCTGTGCCGGCATCACCACAGGGCCCCCACCAAGAATAGGAGGGCAGTGAAAACGGGACACGCACCTGCTCAATGTGCTTTTCGCATCCTGAAAGGAGAAAGAGAATCGATGCTCTGTATTAGCACTGGGGGCATGAAATGGAGCATTTTCCATTCTGGGCACCAACTTTTCATGTAGAAAATAGATTAACACTTTGGGGCTTCATTGTTTTGATGGTAAAATCTCCTCCACCATTTTGCATTAGCACTTGTTCCACTTCCATAAGTGAGGCAGGAATGTAGCTCAGTAGCTTTCCTTCCTAGGGACCCAGCCCATCCGTATCTGTGTTTAGCGACTGTGCTGAGCTCATTGTTCTGGACTCACAGAAGGGATGGGTTTAGCCCCGTATCATTTTGCATCATCCATTTAATTTCCCATCGCCTCCCTGGATCTCCACGATCAGAATTCCCCTCCCACACGAGCTGTAATGTTTGGAGCTGATGGAGCCCTTGGCCGGATATCGCCTGTGAGCACCGCACATAGCACATTTACTCTCACTCCTGGGCTCCAAACCCATGGATCCGAGCTGTGATTCTGGCTGGAGGCAGAGTTTTGACGCCCTCTCACCTTCAGCAGCTCAGTAACCGGCTGCTGACACTTCCCCTCGATCTCTGAGATCAGCTGCTGCAGGGAGGCACTTTGCTGGGAGAGTTTGGAGACATTTTCCTGTAGCCGCTGCAGAGTCTCCCGCTCCTCCTCCGCCAGCCTCTGCAGAAGCAGCTGCTCCTCCTCCCTCAGCAGCGTGTGCAGATTGTTAAATTCAGCGGCAATTGTCTCCCGTTTCGCCTGCACTTTCCTCTGGAGAAAGGAAAACAGGTCAGATGCTGAGTTACAGATACAGACGGGGCCTCAGTCCATGGCACAGGGAATGTTAGATGAGTGTCTGGTTTGTAGGTATATTTCCTTCTTTGGGAAACGTACCATAACGTTTTTGGGTTTGGTCAATGGGGTTATCCAGGGTGCTAGGGAAAGCTGCAGTGTGTTATTGCAGGTGCCATGGGATGCACACAGGGGAATGGGAAGAAATGGGGGGAACAGGAGAGATTTACAGGGGGCTCCAGGTGCAGGCCACAGGAGCGCCTGTGGGTCAGTCGTCTACAAATCAGTCTCCAGCCGCAGGGCTCTGAATACAGCATCAGATGCAGAACCAGAGGCACCCAGCTCTGCGCATTTCAGCCCTTGTAAAAAGCCATTTCTACCTGGCTAGTGAGACACCCTTTTCTCCTCTCACCCCGGCTGCTGGTGTGTCTCACACACACCCATTTTGCCCCAGGGGTTCATCCCCGGGATACAGACAAGGCCAAGGACGGTCACAGGAGCAGCAGCAGGTGACTGGGATGAGGTGGCCACATGATGGCAGCAGAGGTTGTGAGGTGACCACGCTCTGCCTGGCTTCACACTAACCCGCCACCCAGCTCTGCTCCTTCAGCGGTGTCCTGGCTGCAGTGGAGGTGTGATAGCACCATGTGCAGATACACCCCAGCTAGCCTTGATCTAGCTAGCTCGGGTGCTGGTAGCAGGGGAGTTGCAGCAGCAGTGGCTGGATAAGCCCACCCAGGCCCCTGGGCAATGATTCAGGTGCTAGGCCCAGCTGGCTGTGGGTGCCCTGCACAGACGCACCCTGAGGCAGATGTTAGGATTTAAAGTTTTATTCTTTCTATATTTGTATGTTAGGTTTAATAACGTAGCAATGTAAGGTAACCAATTATCATTTTATTAAATTAAGCCCTTTAGTAAGATATATATCCCTTGGTTTTAAAGTGTAGTGAGTTTAGAAAGTAGAGAGAAGGAGTGTTGGTATTATGTCTATGTTAATAAGATCAGAGAAATGTTGAAGGTTGAAGTCTTAATTGTTTGATTTACAATGTCCTTTGCTTTGCCCAATATGAGATGCTTTGTTCATATTGATGTATTATGCTTTTCTTTGCAAGGGCTTGTAAAAGTTTGTTTGTGTGTGGAAGAGTTATGTATGTATCGGGATAAAGATGTGAAAGTTGTGGCTCAGAACCAGATGGCCAACCAAAGAGGGATGGAGCCTGGGTGAAAACAGACTCACTGGCGTCAGAAGGACCATTCCTAACCATCCGTGCGCACCCCTAGTCACAGAATGATTGGGTTATTGGCAGATGGACAGCATCAAAGCAGAGCTAGCACCCCTGAAAGACGATTGATTACAGGATGAGCCTTTGGAGATGTTTTGGGAACTACTGACATAACCAAGAGAACACCAGAGAACACTCTCTGACACAGCAGAATTCCAGACTTCAACAGAGAAAAGGGTTATAAACGCAGGGTGCTTTGCTATGGAACCTTGGGTTCATCTTGCTACCAACTCCAGAGGAGCATCGGATCGATCGACCAACAAAGGCCCTGCTCTCCCTCTGTGATCGATCTAACTGGCCATTACATTGATCCAGACTCTGGACTGATAACTATGACATCGTCTGGCGGGAGTGTGAGTGACTGAAAAGCATATGCAATTGTTGTGTTCTCACTCAATGCGGCGTACTGCCTTTTCCCCTATAAAAGATCTTGTGTGCTTTCTTGAAGCATAACACAGATTTCACAAAGAGCAGCTGGTTCAATGCTCAGAAGAGCTCAGCTCCCAGCATGCCCCAGCCAACTGGCCGAGTGATTCTGAACCTCTCTCAGGGGGGTGAATCCTCTGCCCAGCTCTAGTGTCTGGCCCAGGCCCTGGACAGATGCACTGCAGGCTTTGTGGGTGGAGGAGGGGAAAGGAACAACCCCTGTGTCCTCCAGGCTGCAAAGACACCGTGGAGCTATTTCATGGAGGCCCCTGAATCCCACGGGCTGAAACAGCCTCTGTGCCCCCCGCACCTGCGGGAGTGAAGTGAGATCCGTGATATAATGAAAACACTGCGCCCACTATTGCTAGTGTTACCCTATCAGAGCGCACAGGAGTGGGTCTGCATCACCCCACCAGGGTCAGGAGCTGCTGTGCTGAGACCCCCACCAGCGACACAGCCTGATGCTGCTGGCACCACTCCTGTGTTACAGGGCAAGGAACCAGAGAAGCTTCACACCCGCGCCCTAGAGCTTTACGGCCTCTCACCCCTGGGAGAGAAACCCAGACACCCACCTGCCACTCTGTCGTTTTCTCCTCCTATTTAGACGTCAGCGCCTGGGCCTCCTCCAGCTGCTTCCTCAGCGGGCCCAGGGCCCCCTGGAGTTTCTCCTGCAGGGCATCGTGGATGACAAACAGCTGTTATCTGCCTGTCCGAGGGATGGCGAGCACCTCACACACCAGCCTTCCCCGCCCCCGCAGGGGCTCTGCCAGCCCCAAAGGCACCGTGGAGGCAGAGATGCCCGGCTCCGAGCAGGGGCTCTGCCTCCCGCAGCCACTCAGGGCAACTCCACCCAGCGTGTTAGCTCAGGTGTCACGTCCCTCCAGCCGGTGGGTCAGAGGAGCTGGGGCGGGAACATTGCTACACCGCACTCTAGACCCGGACACCAGATCCACACTCTCCTCTCCCGCAGCCCCTGGGGGCCTCCCTCACAGCAAAGGGAGGGACAAGGGAGCCCTGGGTCTGGGGGAGCAGACACCTGTAATTGTAACCGCTCCTGGGCTGTGGAAACCCGGCGTTCTCATCTTCTTGGGCAGAGATTCATTCGCCCAGCGCAGCACCGTGCTGTGCGAGGGCTGCAAAATCCCCACTAACCAGACAAACATCCAGTTAACCTAACGCTTGGCCAGTTAACCGGACTACGTGGGACCTCACTGCTGGCTCCTGCCTCTGCGCTCCCAGGCCCGCCAGGGACAGAGGCTGCTCCAGCTGGGACACTGAGGACGTCCCTGCTCCAACTCTGCTGAGCCATGGTCTTCTGGATAGCTGTGCCCAATGTCACCGCGGTAGCAGAGCGTCCCCAGCCACGGTTAACCTAACGCTTGGCCAGTTAACCGGACTACGTGGGACCTCACTGCTGGCTCCTGCCTCTGCGCTCCCAGGCCCGCCAGGGACAGAGGCTGCTCCAGCTGGGACACTGAGGACGTCCCTGCTCCAACTCTGCTGAGCCATGGTCTTCTGGATAGCTGTGCCCAATGTCACCGCGGTAGCAGAGCGTCCCCAGCCACGGTTACCGGGGCAGAGCAGGCTGCCGGGCCACTTCAGATCCCACCAGCACAGGGACAGCGGGAATGGCGGCCGACCCCTGCTGTTGCCCCACATCAGACCACCCAGTGACACCTGGTTCATGTCAGGGGACAATGGGGTGGAGCAGGAATTGGAATTGGGGGAAGGGGTGGAGCAGAGGCTGGATGCAGCTGAGGGTGGGGAGGGTGCCCTAGATCTCATGTCCTTTTGGGGACAGCACTGGCTGTAGAGTCAGCACCGATATAATTAAGTTTATGTGAGCTGCCCATGTCACCCTAACACCACAGTGAGCGCCAAGGCCCAGAACCCGCCCTGCAGAGCCTGGTCCCTACCTTGTACTCCTGGGCAGCCTCCTCGATGGGCAACACCTTGTGCGCTTGGTGCGCCCAGGACTCTCTGTAGATCACGCAGATGGGAGCTTGATCCTCCCGGCAGAAGAGCTTCAGGGCCTCCTGGTGCTTCTCGCACCCTGGCTGCCCCTCAAGTGCTGGCCCCATCGGGAGCCGCAGGCATTTCACCAGCTCCACCAGGTTCCCCAGCTGGTAGTTGGGCCGCAGGTGTCTCTGTGTGATGGTCTCTCTGCACTGGGGGCAGGAGAAGTTGGGCTCCGACTCCCCCCAGCACTGGCTGAGGCAGGCCTGACAGAAGTTGTGCCCACACTCGATAGACACTGGGTCTGTGAAATACTCCAGGCAGATGGGACACGTCACCTCCTCCTGGAAGCTCCTGGCCAGGTGGCTGGCAGCCATGACCCCTCCGCAACCCGGCCCTGAAAGAAAAAACCCCGCCAAAGTCAGAGCCCCAGAAATGCCCCAAACAAGTACCAAGGTACCTAAGACAACTTAGGCAGTTACAGACACACAGAACCTTGCCAGTTTAAAAGTCTCTGGGGGGAGCCGTGTTAGTCTGTAACTAAAAGAAGCTTAAAAACCAATGAGTTTTAGTGGGTACCGCCCACTGCTCCGTGTTTGCCATCTGAGGCAGTGGGTTGTGCCACAGAAGCTCATGACACTCTCCAGATTTTTTGCTAGTCTCTCTGATGCTACAGGGCCAGGTGTTTCTTAAGGCACCCAGAAGCTGGCACTGGTCCAGTTAATAGGCCTAGGCAGAAGCTGAAGTACTGCGTCCCTTACAGCGAGCTGGGACTGGAGAGGGATCCTGGGGCATCTATACAAATTGTTTGCTCCTACTTTGCTTAGGTGTGTCACTGTCTGGCGGATGCAGTGGGATTTTGCTCAGTGTCATCAACGGGCTGGTCCCACGGCCACTGTCAGTTACTGAGCAAAAATCCTCTCAGGTCTGGGGCTTTTCCTCACAGCTTTTAATTGCAGCGTCCTCTCCTTTCTGGAAGGAAGATGCTGCCCTGAGTCTCTCTCCTTGATGGGAGCCTGAAGGGGCAGTGGGATTAATCACCCCCATTTACCCCTCATGTTTCACAATCAAATTCTGTTCCCCTTTGCACTCAATCATACTGGGGTGCTGCTGAGGCACGTGACTCATCCCATCATTAATGATCATCAGAGACAGGGTCCCATTTGGGGACCAGTGTCCCCCAGCAGCTAAGGCAGGGGTGGCCCCCCCAACAGGGTGTTCTACTGCCCCAGGTGGGGAGGAGAATGGGGGTGATAAGGGCCCCCACCACCCCAGGGCAGGACCCAGAGTGGCCACAGACACCTGCTCCAGGCCCTCGTGTTCCCCTCCCCTCGGGCCCCACAAGCTCAGGACCATGGGCTCTAGGGGGCTGCCCCCCTTGCTCAGACACAGCCAGGGCCTGGGCGGGTACGTGGCTGTTCTGTGCCAGCGACAGGGCACGGCTGGGGCACCGGGGGCGGGGGCCGAGGCACCCC